TCTAACTGGGAAAGAAACGTAAGCCTTTGTGGCAACCAAAGAAGCTGATTAACAGCAGAACCGAGACTCATCCTGTTGGCACCTGGGGTGGGTCAGTGTAAGGTAGAGGAATGAAAGATAGACCTTAAGCCTCTGGCCAGGTCCTCGCAGCATGGGCCACCTGTTCCTGCAGCTATGATGAGATAATACCCAGCAGATCCGTGTCCCCACCCCATGTCCTCTGCCCACCTTCCCACTGCAGTGCTTGCGCCCCTACCAGCCATGGGTAGAGAGTTTAATTCACATGGTTGTGCTATGAAAACACTGTTGTGCTGAAGACCCTCCTGCAAATGTCTTTAACTTTCCTGCAGACTCAGATTTACCTTCTCTGAGGGGATCCCCTCCCCCAGGTCAACTACAAAAGTGAATAGTATGAGCCACCTTCTCAAAGCAACATTTTCTAAACAGACAAAATTCCTTTTATTTACAGTGTAACGGGATGAAATATGCATACATTCTGGAATAGTTTAACAAATTAAAATCTCCATGAGCTCACGTACTTACTTTTATGCAAAGAACACCTACCCAATCTCTCTACTCTCTTAGCGATTTTCAAGCACACAATATATTGCTAAATATAATCACCATGTTACACAGTATGTCTCTTGAGCTCATTCTTCCAGTCTAACTGAAATTTTGTATCCCCTGACCAGTGTCTCCCCAGTCCCACCCCAATAGCCCCTGATAACCACCATCCTGCTCACTGCTTCTATGAAGCCACCTTCTTAGAGCCCACGTGTGAGTGAGCCCATTCAGTATTTGTCTCTTTATACTCACCTAGACAAACTGACCTTCATCAAAATTCATAATTTCTGCATATTCAAGGGTGGTGCTATCAACAGATTAAAAAGGCAACTCAGAGAATGGGTAAAGATATTTGCAAATCATATGTGTTATAAGGGATTAATATTTAATATATAAAGCAACTTGTACAGCCCAACAAACACCACAAAATAAGCAACCTAACTTTAAAATGAGCAAAGTGTTCAAACAAATATTTCTCCAAAGAAGATATATGGTTGATCAGTCATCATAAGAAAAATGCTCAATATGCCCAGCCATTAGAGAATGCCATTCAGAATCCTTAGTGAGCCTTCCACACCCGTTAGGGTGGCTACTATGAAAAAAAAAAAAAAACAGGAAATCAGTATTCACAAGGATGTAGAAAATTGGATCCTTGGGTATTCCAGTGGGAAAGTGAAATGGTGTAACTGCCAGCTTGTTCCTCAAAAAGCTAAATATAACCATGCCACATGTTCAAGCAATTCCATTTTTAAGTATATACACTAAAGAATTCAAAACGGGGATCTAAACAGGTATTTGTATACCAGTGATATTAACAACATTACCCACAATAGACAAAAACTGGGAGTTATCCAAGAGTCCAACAGATGAATGGTGTCGTGGTTACTTTTCTCTCGTTGCTGGGACAAAATACCTGATGCCCAAAATTAAGGAAGGAAAGGTTTATTTCACTTACAATTTGTGGAGGTTTTAGTCCATACTTGGCAGGTTGCAAGGCAGAGTGGCACATGGCAGAGAGCTACAGCTCATGGCGGCAGAACACAGCAAAAGCAACAACCACTAAAAGGGAAGAATGGCCACAAGTAGCCTCTTCCTCTCCCTTATATATGCAAACTATCCACCCCAGGGCAGGTGTAGCTCTCACACCCATAATCAATCAAACTCTAAAAGTCCGCCCCATGACCACATGAGGCTTTGGGGGACACACAGACACAAACCATAACAAATGGGTAACAAAATGTGCTATACACATACAATGATTTATTACTCAACAAAAGCAACAGGGTTCCAATGTGTGCTAAAAAGTGAATGAAGCCCCAGAACATTGCACTAAGTGGATTAAGGGTTGCCAAAGTACAAATACCATATCATTCTACTTACATAAGGCACCGAGAGTAGGCAAGTTCCAAGAGACAGCTGTGGCACAGTGGTTCCCAGGGGCTGGAGGGAGCCTCATGGAGAGCTGTGTAACAAATGAAGAGTTTTGGCTTAAGATGATGAAATAGTTCTAGAGACAGGTAGTAAGAGGTGGGGGCTACACGGTGATGTAAATGTACTTAATGCCATCCACCTACATATTTCAGGGATTAAAGTGGCAAGTTTAACGTCATGTGTCTTTTACCACAATTAAAATTTTTTAAATTAACATTTTTTAAAAATTTTTATTGTGTCAACTATGTGCCCATATACACCAGAAATACAGTGAAGGATAAAGTGCCTGCCCATGCTGTTTACTGAGAATTCAGTGAAACAAGCATAAGTCCATAAAAATATGTAACTTTTGGTAGTGATGGTTTTATGCACAGCGTGAAGTGACGTAAGGAGGTAAGAGCCGGGCATTGGCGTGCGGTAGGAGTGCTGTTTCAGACAGTGTGCAAGACGCCTCTGTAAGCTGCAACCTTTGAGCAGAGACTCAAATGATGAGGACCAGGCACAGAAAGGCTTGGAAGGAGAGTTTGCCAGGCAAGGAACATCAAGAGCATAGGTCACAAGTAGCAGTGAGCCTCAGAGTCAAGGGTAGTTGGACAAAAGAGCTGGACCAGGAATGAATGGGAGATGAGAACAGGAAGGGGCAGAAACCAGCCCCGTGGGCTATCAGGAAGCAAGGCTTCATTAGGAGACAGAAGGAGGTGCTGACAGTATTGAACAGGAAAGTGGCCGGGTGCTGCAGACATGTTTAGGTCACTTTGGCCACTGGTAAACCACTTTGGAATGTTGATGAGGCAAAGGCAGAGAGACGGGTGTCCCTTGCTTCCATCCTCCAGATGGAGACAAATGAGCCGGAGGTGTTCTATGCAGCGATTGATGCGTAGAGTGATTAGAGTCTGGGTTGTCTGCCTCTTTGGCCCTATCTTCCCTGTGGGCACTGACCATTCTTGCAGAGTTGACTCTGTTCACGTGGCTGAAGCTCAAGCCAGCTGTGCCCACTTCAGGGGCAAGATAACTAGCTGCTCTCATCGAGACAGTCGTTGCCCACCACCCCCACCACCCCCCGCCACAGTATTTCCCAGTATTTCTCCAAAGTCGTAACTTCTAGTTTGGGAAACAAGAACCCGTTTCCTGAAGGTTGCCACATGTGGGTGCTGTTTTAGTCTCATCTGGAGTGAAAGCTCTGAGTGCAGTCTAATTTACAAGACTCAGCACCTCCTAGTGTTTAGACCAGGAGGGCTGATTATTGCTTAAATTCCTTGGGAGGATCCTGGAAGGATGCTTAAGGACCCTGGGAGGAAATAAATGATAGGTGAGTATTTTTTGAAGGTTTTTACAAGAGTTTCTTTGTTGACAATGAATGTCTCTTCAGACAACCTAAACTCTGCTGGAGAAAGCAAGATCCTTCTACACCTGCATCTGGTGACCTCACTTCCTGGCTCCAAACTCGTCACCAGCTCCCTCTCAGCTCTGAAACTGAGTGCAGACCTCAGAGAAGAGGAGGCAGCTCCCCAGGTCTAACTGAAGCCTCCTTCCCAGCAAGTGCACATGCTGAAGTCTCCCTACTATCAAAATGACCCCCCCCCCCGTCCGCTCTCATGAACCTGCCCTACTTCTTCAAGATGCAGCTGAAATTTCTACTCCCTTCTGAAGACTGCTTTGGTCATGAATTCCTGCAAAGAAACACTGACCATTCTCCCTTCAGGCCAGTGTGCATCTTGCATGTGACTCTATAGCAATGTTTCACATCTGTTGCAAATATGCATTTAAATATATAGCACCTCCTCTAAATTACATGATCCTTGATATCAGTGACCATGTCTTGTGGGTCCCTGGCATCCATTTGCCTGCCTAGAACATAATACAAACTTAACAAAGGTCAGGTCAAATTAATTATTGGAGAGTATATTCACCCTAGGAAAGAAATACAGTGACATCTCCATTGTCAAATGGCGCCAAGGTCGAACTTTCCACTACTCAAGCAGTGAAGTTCAAATGAAATCTGCTCAGTGTTCGTAACTTTACTCGATAGTCAAACTAAAAATCAGACTTGAAAAAACCTATACAGATCGTAGAGTGAGTCACATGTCGCATCTCATCTGCAACACAGAAGGCCACACTTCAGTTTAAGTGTCACTCTTGCCCAAATAACATATAATGCTTGTATAATTTGCGGGCCTCAGAGCCAATTATTTGGTTTTCCTTTTTTCGTTGTTTTTTTTTTTTTTTTTGGGGGGGGGACCAGGAATCAAACTCAGGATCTTGCATTGCCAGGCAGGCACTGTGCCACTGAGCTACGTCCCTGGCCCTCTATTATTTCCTTTTTTTTTTTCTTCCATTATTTCTTATAAGAAAAATACTGTATGTTCAGTTCTTGAACTTTTCAGTATTAAACCATAAATGTAGAACAAATCGAGTTTGACAACTGAGAATCACTGTAATTACCTCCTAGCTCTTGGTTCCAGTACCTGTGACTTAGGAAATTGCTCACTTAGGTAATAAGATAAATGTCTCCGTTTTTTTCCATAGCACTTCACACAATTTAATATACTACCTTACTTACTATAGTATCCTCCTTTTTATTATATTCAATGTTTCCCATTTGTCTCCTTCATGAGGAGGTAAGCTCCATATTTTGTCTATTTTCTTCAGTGATGTAGACTCAAACTATTAGAACAGCACCCAGCCACAGCACCCACTCAATAGAGTGAATTTATTGAATTAATTAATGAATAAAAGAATTTAGTCTCTGTGTATGTGGAGTCCATAAAGCAGCAAGTGTAGATGGTTCTTTCTGCTATAGCTTCTGGGGAAGTTTTAAAACCCAAAGAAAGCAAATTTAACCAGGGAGACTAGAAAGAGTTCACTTAAACACTGCGTCCCCCAAAAAAGTGCTTTTTATTGCTACTGCGGTCATTTTTTAATGTTTGCACTGTTATATTACAAATAAGGACAAAGGTATGTCTAGAAAAAGAAACAGATACAATATTCTTTTCAACTATTTTCAGAAAACTTCATGACTTTTGAAGAAGAGATAAGTGAAAATAGCCGAGGTCTTCTTCCCCAACAGGATTGAAAGGATGAATGGTACAATGTCCGTGAAGCGTCTTGATCTCCACAAGCAACCTTGCAGGCCCTCCGCGGGGAAGCCTGCAGCCTACTTCCCTTTTAACTTCCGTGAGCTCTCCCATCCCCAGTGACTCATCCTCCTAAGCACACTGTGTCTAAGAGTCGGGAGAAAATACTATTTGAAGTTTGGATTCAGCATCAGGCAAAATGAGATTCAGAACCTAGAGCTACCTTACCTTCTTTGAACTCCATCACCAGTTGAAATATTCTAACCAAAATGTTTCCCTGCCTTTCTGCCCTCTGCCTTCCTTGCTCCCAAAAAATATGGGGTGCTTGAGCTCTGTGTTCTTGTTCTCAGTAGCACATGGCTACAAGGGCACTTTTCTCTCCCTGAAGGCTAGAAAAATAGGAGTTGAGCAAAGGGGGGAAAAAAACAACAATCTGAGCAGTATCTCCATTTGTCCTGTATTGTTCCTCATTTTAAAAGTAATAAAATAACACTTTTTGTGACTGTTTTCTCTTCTCAGTACTATTGCGACTCTGAGACCATACTTACACCCAACCACAAAAATAAATATATACATACGCATTTCTGGGCATGCTGGTACATGCTGGATGATCACCCCAAGTTCAAGGCCATCGTGGTCTACATAGAGAGACCTTGTCTCAAAAAGAAAAACAATAAAATTAATACACACTTCTGTTAGGGGCCTAAGGTCATCTGTTATATAGATTTTATTCCATCATTTCCCCTACAACTCTGCCCTCATGTGATAATCTAGTTAACTGAGCTTTACATCCAACTTATTCCAATTAACATATATGCGAAGTAGAAATCCACAACTCACATACTAAATTAGTGTTGCTGTATCTGGCATGAACAGAGGCACTGTGGCCCTGGTGTGTTCACTAGGTCACTTCAGAGTCTGAGGCTCTACTTCCTTCATTTTTCCAACAGCATTTTTGGGTAAACTGAAGCCAAAGTGTTACAGCTACAAATTTGTATTTCCAAAGCTCAGTTTCTAAAAAAAAAAACACACATTACAAGTTGAGAAGGACACAAATCAAACAGTTCCAAGACTACTGACTGGATTCTACTTCTAAAAGTTTATGTGTAAGGTCTATTCTTAAAATGAGTGCTTTTTTCTTTTCAGAATGAGAGCTTTAATGAGACAAAGGAAGACTTAGCACAGAACTTGACAGATACTAGGTAATTTATGAATGTTTTCATTCAATTGCTAGTATATGGATTGGCAAAGCAAGATAAATGCCATTCTTCCACTGCCTTCTACATTAATCAGAAATGTTGAAAATTCACTTTATTTTTATCCACTTGGTGTGTACTTGAAGTCCTTACCCATATCATGCATCCAGTACTATACATGTAGCAAATATCATTAATTTATAAACCAGGTTGGTTACCACACACAAAGTAGAAACAGGGAGAACAAGGCAATTCCCACCACCAGCAAAAGAACAAATCTCACATTTTGTCCACTTCTTTATTGATTGAAAAATTTTTCTTCACTTAAACACACAAGAATTCCTGCAAGAGATGGTATCTTAAGTGAAATTGTCATTATTCACAGATGACATGATACTCTACATAAAAGACCCCCAAAAACTCCACCAAAAGTCTCATGGATTTAATTACCAAATTCAGTAGCATAGCTGGATACAAAGTTAACACTCAAAAGTCAATAGCATTCCTGTATATGTGTAATGAACAGACAGAGAGAAATTAGGGAAATCACACCTTTCACAATAGCATCTAAAAAGATGAAATATTTAGGAATCAATCTAACAAAAGAAGTAAAAGATCTATACAGTGAAAATTATAGTACTCTAAAAAAAGAGATCAAAGAGGATATCTGAAAATGGAAAGATATTCCTTGCTCATGGATAGGAAGAACTTACATTGTGAAAATGACCATACTCCCAAAATTGTTGTACAGATTCAATGCAATTCCAATTAAAATACCATTAGTATACCTCACAGATCTAGAAAAAACATTCCTAAAGTTCATCTGGAACCAGAAGAGGCCTAGAATAGCAAAAGCACTCTTGGGAAAGAAAGGAAAGGCAGGAGGCATCATAATTCCTGACTTAAAATTATATTACAAAGCTATTGTGATAAAATCAGCATGGTACTGGCACAAAAACAGACCTGAAGATCAATGCAACAGATTAGAAGATACAGATACAACTACAAACACACTCAATCACCTTATCTTTGACAAAGGGGCCAAACATGTTCAATGGAAGGAAGATAGCCTCTTTAATAAATGGTGCTGGAAAAACTGGCTTTCCACATGCCAAAGACTAAAACTCGACCCATGTCTTTCACCATGCACTAAATTAAAGTCAAAATGGATCAAAGATCTAAATATTAAAATAGAAAAACTAAATTTATTGGAAGAGAAAGTAGGTAAAAGTCTTGATGACATTCGGGTAGGCAGAGAGTTCACGAACAAAAACCAAGCTGCGTGGGAAAGACTTCAAAGAATCAACTGGGATCTCATCTTACTGAAAAGTTTTTGCACATCTAAAGAAATCACCAATAAAGTAAAAAGAAAACCCATGAATTGGGAAAAAAATTTAGCCAACTGCCCCTCAGACAAAGGACTTCTATCTAGGACATATAAAGAATTTTTAAAAATCAGGCCTCCCAAGTTCAAAGACCCAATCCAAAAATGGACATCTGAGGTGAATATACACTTCTCTAATGAAGAGATACTAATGGTGAATAAATACATGAAAAAATGTTCAACGTCACTAGTCATTTGAGAAATGCAAATTAAAACAACACTGAGATTCCATCTCACCCCAGAATAAATGGCTGTCATCAAGAAATCAACCAATAACAAATGCTGGAGAGGCTGTGGGGAGAAAGGAACCCTACTCCACTGATGGTGGGAGTGTAGATTGGTGAAACCACTGTGGAAATCAATTTGGAGATGCCTCACAAAACTAGGATTAGAAGTCCCATTTAACCCAGCTATTCCCCTTCTGGGTATTTTCCCAGAAGGATTAAAGACATCATATCACAGCAATATACGTGCACCCATATTTATAGCAGCACAATTTGTTATAGCAAAATCTTGGAAACAGTCCAGATGCCCATCCACTGAGGAATAGGTAAAAAGTTGTGGTATTTTTATACAATGGAGTGATACTCAGCTATTAAAAAACATAATCTCTAGGCTTTTGTAGGTAAATGGATGCAACTAGAGACCATAATCATAAGTGAAATAAATTGGACCCAGATAGGTAAACATCATATTGTCTCCTTGGTGTAGGAATCTGAAAGGCTAGGTAAAACTGAAAAGGTACAATAGATGATAGGAAAGGGAAAGGAACTGCTCTAAGGAAGGAACGACTGGGATGAGGGAAAGAAGAAAAAGAAGGAAGGAAGGCAAAACATAAATATATATATGAATAGCTGCGATGACTGCATTGCTGTTGTCTGATGGTGTATTGAAATGAACAGTTAATGCTTACAATTTTTTATGTTCTGATCGACTTTGCATGCTTGTGTCTGGTGGTCTGGGCAACTGATTTGAAGGTTACAATATGCAACAGACTTACAGTGGTGAACTCCTACCATCTTGTCTAGAGAAACTCTGTATTATTTCTAATGCTTTATTGAAGAATTATTTTCTTATTCTCTTCAATGGTTTGAGCAATCTTTCATTCTTACATCTGATAATCTGAGCAATGTAGTTGAGGAGAGCGATATGCAATGTAACAACCACTGTTTATTTGTATTAATTTGTCTTGAGACCCTGTATCACTTTGAATGTTCTTACTTTGATTTGTTTGTGTTTGTGATACTGGTATGCTGCTACTGTTCTATTTTTTTGTTTGTTTGAGTGTCATGTACTGCTCTCTTTAAAATAAAAAAAAAATTTAAAAAGAGATGTTATCTTACGACAGCCTGACATGTCTCAGGAGGTTAATAAAATTGTGCTGACCCCTTAAGGAGCAGGAGAATCCTGATGAAGGGACAAGTGGTGTAGACCCTGGTGCACCTGGGGAAGCTTGCTGTTTATGGAAAGACAGAGGAGACAGTGGAAGGGCGGGTACTACCAATTCCCATGTCCCCAATTTCATCATCTTTCCCAGAATCAGTCCCAAATCTATATCCCATTGTGCACCTGCGACCTTTCTCCAGCCTGAGATGAATTCTAGAATGAGGCACACAGCAGCACACAAAAAGCACACATCATGCACTGGGATGCAGTAACTCTTTATTGTACAGAGTGAGTCTACGTCCTTCCGTCTCCACCCCTTCCGGCCCCCTTTCCACAATGACACTGCGGCCAAAAGGATCTTTTAAAAAGTCAGATCTGACCCTGTCATAGCCTGCTCTTGGAATAAAGTCTATCAGGCCCTCAGCAAACTGCAAGGCACTGTGCCCCAGTTTCTCCTGAATTCTCCCATTGCATCTCACACATAGCACCCCACATTCTGTCTTCTTTCAGCTGCTAATGGTGTCCCATGTCCCAGGATCTTCCTATCTAGAAGAACGTCCCCAACTCATGACTCTCATACACTCATCTTTCAGCTTCCGCTTAAGGTTTAGTTCTTTGGGGAAGTCACACCAAACTAGCTTAGAACCCCATTAGACAATATAACAGCTCCCTGTTTCTTCTTTTGTTCCACTTTCCAAAATTGTAATAATACTATTATAATTATTAATTGCTTGTATAGTGGTTTAACACCTGTCTATGCTCCAGGCTGTAATCTCCATGCAGAAGGAATCATATCTATCTTATTTGTTACTCTATTCTGAGCCTAATATCATTCTGAGGTATAGTAGATACTGCAGTCTCTAAGTATTTGAAGCATTGATAAATAAGACCGTGAGGTATCCAGGGAGGTGTTTCCCAAGTGACATTTCTAGCAGAAAGGGAGGTCATTGAGAGGTGACAGTCAGGTTCACAGTTATCTGCCTTCAGACAATAAAGTAAAAGTCCCAGAGGAGATGGAAGTGAGCAGTGGTTTTCCTTAGTGGAGAATAGAAAGTAACTTGAGTTAATTAAAGCAGGTGTCCATGAGCAATGCTTCTTACCTTTGGTGAGCAAAAAGTATTATAAAGTTTTATATGGGATTCAGTTCAGCCTACCTCGACATCAAATTGTTTCTGCAACTAATGCAGATCCTTGTATCTTTCTTTCTTTCTCTCTCTCTCTTTGTAATTAAGTTTATTAGTACAATTTATAATGATCACATCCACCACAGGGAGTTTGTACCTATACATGATGTATCTTAGTTCCTCTTTTTTCCCATTCCCTCCCCTCTCTTCAACCTCTGTTCCCCTCCTTATTTACAAAGCTTTGCTTCCATTTTATCCTTTTTTCTCATTTTTTTCTTTTCCCTTCCATTCTCCCCAGTTCTTTCCCTTCAAATAATTACTTCCTATTTCACAATAGCTATACATTTATCTATTATACACTTTCAGTTTCTCATACCAGAGAGACAATGAAATATTTACACGTGTCTGTCATACAGTGTCATCTATTCTGTCATCTTGAGAAATAGCTAACATTTTCTAGTTGAATATTTTCCAGATCACATCTCCTTTCTTCTCTTTATTTTTTTCTTCTGTTTAGCTGCTTATATTTCTCCATGGCACATGTCTAACTTAAATATGACTGGATGTTAAGAAAAGTTTTTTTGGTAAAGGTTTATATCTACCCCACCATCCACAACCAAATAATTTAATTTCCCTTACAATGTAAAAAAAAGTATATAGCTGTTGTTTTGTCATCATTCTAGACACAAAAATTAACTTAGAGAGGAAAAATCCAAGTAACTGCTGAGAAAACAATCAGTGATACTCAGCACAGGTCAGAAAAATAAATCTTACATTTTACAGCTTGTTATTATTTACAAAGCTCTGCATTTTTCCATCCATCTTGATTCTAGCTAAAGAACTCTGGACATTTAACTGAACCAAGACAGATTTTTTTGTCCTGATGAGAAAACAGGCAGATTTTTTTCAGGTCAATGGGTCTAATAGAGCTAATAAAGTTACAGAATAATCTAAATCTACATTTTTCTGCCTCAGTATACCTGTTTTATTGTGAGATCTGGCTTGTGTGCTAAAGGAACAAGACAAAAGCCTAAAGGATGATCCACAGGGACTTCTAGGCTAATGGAGCTTGGTCTTATTCTGCTTAGGAAACTCTCATTCTTCTGAAAATTTTCTTCAAAGCTTCCTTCACTTCCTTGTTTCTCAGGCTATAGATCATCGGGTTTAGCATGGGGATTACCATGGTATAAAATACTGACACAATCTTGTCTTCCCAGAGGAACTTTCCCATGTTCCCTTTCAGATATATGAATATGAGTGTCCCAAAGAAAAGAGCCACTGCAGTCATGTGGGACGCACAGGTGGAGAAGGTCTTGGCTTTGCCACCTGCTGAACGAATCCTCAGAATAGCTCGGACGATGAAGAGATAGGATATAAGAATCACTGAGATGCTGGTTGTGATGACGAAGAAAGCGAAGAGGAAGATCACCTGCTCCCGTAGTCGGGTCTCACTGCAGGCAAGTTTCAGCAGGGGCGGGAGGTCACAAAAGAAGAAGTCGATGCGGTTGGACTTACAGAAGGAGATGGAGAAGGTGCACCCAGTGCGGACCACAGAATTCACCATGGCACCAGCATACGCGGTGGCCACCAGCCCCAGGCGGGTGTGTGGTGCCATGGCCATGGTGTAGCGGAGGGGATTACACACAGCTGCGTAGCGGTCGTAGGCCATCACAGCCAGGAGGAAACACTCAGCGCTCGCGTAGAGTGTAAAAAAAAAGAACTGGCTGGCACAGCGCTCGTAGGTGATGACCATCTTACTGGTCCCCAAAGTCTCAAGCAACTGAGGGACAATAACAGAAGAGTAGCAACTGTCCAGGAAGGAGAGGTGGCTGAGGAAGAAGTACATGGGCGTCTGCAGCCGGGCGTCACTCTGGATGAGCATGATCATGCCCAGATTGCCCCCAAGGGTTACGAGATAGAGGGCCAGGAACACGATGAAGAGACCCATCTGCTGTGCTGCCGGGAGCTGGAACCCTGTCAGAACAAACTCCACCACTCTGGAACCATTCTCTGCCATGAAGCCAAAGTTGCCTACTGAAAAATAAAAATAGTAGAGCCTCATCGAAGGTAAATTAAGGTGACCATGGCTGGATTGTTGCTCAATAATAATGACCTTTCAGAATGTTAAAGCACTTCTTAGTTTTCACAAGCTTTATTTCACTTAACCTTTCAGAAGTCCTTGGAAGTCAGTATTGCAAATCCCATTTCTGAAAGAATATGAGGGACAAAGCAGTGAGGTGAATAGTTCCAAATTTCAGTCAAAATGGACAAAGACAAAGCCGGAACTCAGCTCCTTGGGTGACTTCCAAACCCCGGAGACACCACACTGGAATCCGTGTCAGCTTCACATGGAACCAGCACTTTGTTGGAGAAACCCTAGCAGTGTAGTATTAAGAACTGGGCTTTGAAATAAGATATAGTTTTAATTTCCCTCAAACCTTCATCAAGTTAATTAACCTTTCTGAACCTCAGCCTCCTTCTCAATTTGGATTACAAATCCAAAGTCATGATATTATAGTGAAGAACATAATTTGCATACAGTACCTCACTCACACATACTTAGAATTACTTTTTCTAAGTATGATATATACACACACAGTGAAATACTATTCAGCTATAAAAAGTAAGGAAATCTTGTTATTTTTGACAACAGGAATGAACCTGAAAGATATTATATAAAATGAAAGAATCCAAGAATAGAAAGACAAATACCAAAACAAATACATCTTCACTCATAATTTAAAAAAATTTGAACACAGATGAATAGAAAATAGAATAGCAGTTACCAGGGAGTGGGGTGGGAGGATGGAAAGATGTTGGTCAAAGGATACAAAAGTTTAGTAAGTTCAAAAGATTTATTGTACAACACGTGACTATACTGAATAAAAATGTACCATACACTTTACAATTGCTAAGAGAGATTTTCTGTTCTCACCACAAAAAAATAATAAGTATGTGAGATAGTGCATGTATTAATTAGCTTGGTTTAGCCAATCAACAGTATTTCAAAGCATCATTATATGCCATAAATATATACATATTGTCTTAATCACTTTCTCTGCGAGACACAATACCCAGCACCAGCAATTTAAAGGAAGGGACGTTTCTTTTGGCCCACCACTTTGGAAGTTTCGGTCTTCACATGGTCAGTGTCAAGATGGAAGGACCTGGGCAGAGGAAAGCTGCCCATATTATGGCATCCAGGAAGTACAGACAAAGGAGGAACCGAGGGAGATAAACCCTTCTGGGTCACACCCGCAGGGCCCTTTCTCTTCTGACCAAACCCTTATCTCCTCACAGCACATTTAGCTCTGAACCCTTTAATCCATTCTTGAGAACAAGCTCCCATAATCCACTTCCCAAAAGCCCCTCCTCTGAGCACAAGTCTTTGGGGGGTACAGTCCAGATCCAAACCAGAACACAATTTTCATTTGTCAATTAAAACTAAATAAATAATGAAAACATAAAAGAAAATTTTTCTAAATTCTGGGATAATGTGAGTAACACGCTCTTTAATGCATTCTAAAATCTTATCTCCCAGCCTACAGCCCCTTGAAGTTCCAACACTAACTCTGCCTTCCCTTGCGGCTGTGTTTGATGTGTATACAAGCAGAATGGACTTAGAAGCTAGAGCCATAAAGGGCAAGCACGGACAGAATCCCTTCAGCTCGCTTCCCTGCCAGTGGCTTCTTCCTCTCTCTTCCTGCCAAACAGTGTGGCCTGATTTCCAAGTTCCCTGTTATTCCCAAGGACCTGTCCCATTTTTAAATGCCAGATCATTATCAATCAGTGAATCAAGCCATTCTGGAATTAGCTTGCAAAGCTCATTAAGGGATAAAGCTGTCACACTGAGTTTAGTATCTAATACAAATGGTATTCTTGCCAGGTATTAGGACAATCCTGCCTTTGTGATTTGGCTGCTAATAATCTGAGGTATTGAAAATACGGAATGTGAACTTTAAAGGTGATTCTACTTGTCTTCTTTCCATCCTTGAAACAAAAACTGAATTTGAGAAACATCTCATAAAACTTCAGAAAAATAACAAAGTAAAATTTGGATCAATGTTTGGCAAAAGCTGATCTAGTGATGGAATAAATGTCAGTATGTGCTAGGGTTTGTTTTTTTTTTTTTTTTTTTCCCTCCACTGAGTTCTTAATAGTATAAATATTTTGGTTGTTTTCCTAGACAAAAATCTTATATTGATCTTGGTCAATCATGCTGTTCTTAAGAGTTCATGCAAATCAGCCTGACCAAAGAAAAGAAGAGTCTGTATTCACACCCTTATTCAGTAAGAATCTAGCGAGAACTTACCGAGTATCAGGCATTCTTCTAGCTCCTCAGAACAAGGCAGAAAAAGATGTTTGTTCTCAAGAAGCAGTTACTTCAGGAGAGCCCTGCACGGGCGATGTGTTTTTAAAAGAAGAAATATGTGGTCTACCATGATGATGTTATGGGGGAAAGTGCTGCCACTTGTGGAGAGTTCAGACTATCAATGTAAACAGAAGTTATTAAACAGGACCATCATAAGAGGTTCATTAAAATGGAACATTTAGGAAATGATAGCGATCAGGTAACCTCATACGTCATTTACTCCCAAAACTTTTAAAAATAATAATAATGTCACAAAACACCAACAACAAAGCCAGCCATGACAAAACATGTGGAGTTTTCCAGGTCTTCATGTGACACTTTAAAGACAACTTTGTTGGAAAGTGTTATCTTCCTGATAACAGCGCATAGCCTCTGGGGTGCTGGAAATTCCAGGATGTCTAGAACCATCCAGCATAGAGATAAGGCTGGAATTCCAGACATGCAGCGTCCTGGTAAGAAAATGGGACCTGAGGACAGAGTCTGTTCCAGATGCAGACCCAGTCATTTCTACTTGTGTGACCTTGCACTAATTCCTTAACCTATAGACTCTCATTTTTCACACCTCTGCAGCTACAATGGTAGAACTTCTGCACCGTGAGAAGTCAAAGATTTAATTCATGAAAACACACACTGTGCCTAATACACAGCAAACTCCTGAAACATGAAATTGTTACAAGTATTTTTCAGCCTCTAGGTTGTTCTGTCATTCAGAAATCTAACTTCTCTCCACTTTTTTGCTGAGCTAAATGAGGCTTAAAATGGTGAAGGCACTTTGTTAAGAGCACGCAGTTAATAAACAGCACCAGGGCTCCCGGCTCCCAGTGCTCTGTGCTTTCCACTAACCCATCACCCATCGCTGCAGCCCAAGAAGAGGACACAACAACTGCCTGGCTTCTGGAAGACCCCACCGGGAAGACGCAAGTCGGGAGACAGACTTCCTTCCACCACGGCCCCAACAGACACACAAGTCCCTACTGGAAGGAGGGCGGTATTTTCTCAGGGAAGCGTGTGGCATGGTGAAGGAATGGCACTGATTGCTGTGAGCCAGAGGGAACATATAGTAGGAAGGCTAGAAACAGCACCAGGAAACCTGCAGTCAGGTCCAGGTGGTGTATCTTCCATGTCCGAGTCTGTGTCCTCTTCACACACATAGCTGCTCTAAAGAAGCTCACTGTTCTAGAACACTAGGGTCTCTCTTCCCTTTTCTTCTTCAAATGCCATGAGCAGGGAAAGGAATCCCTATGAATGCACCACACAAAATGTACGCGAGGCTGTAGTTTGGACTGAGCCTCTGTGCTATACAGAAAGACCAAACCAGAGTGGAGTCACTCATGCCGAAGTCCCACACCACTAATCCAAAACCAAGTTGCCTACCAGACCTGCTGAGAAATCAGGAGAGAGATAATAGTCCAATCCCCAAACACACCAGTTTCCAACTGCTTCATATGATTGTAATGAGAGTGTGCAATGACACTTTTTGGTGCACAGGACTTCTTTAATGGCTTTACATACATTTCCCCTTATACCTGGGCAAAGACTAGATTAACATCAGTTAAATAAAAAAGTTTGGCCAATTCTGAGTTGGAAACACTACACGTGTTCCCCTTCTTGTAGCGTCACCTTTCCTGGCATGTTTAGTCTGCAGAGAAGGGAGAGAGGAAGAGGTGCTCAAGGACAACAATGGAATGAACTCTAATGAAGTCTCTGCACCCTCAGAAGACCATCTCCTCTAGCACAGATTTCAGCTGCAAGACAAAGAACGCAAGTCATTGAACTAACCCTGCCCTGGCTCCTTGGTTACATCTGCCTACAGATACCGTTGCTGTGTCCAAATCTCATCCCTCATTTTTAATTCATTTTATCTTGCTGCATGTTGTGCATTTTTATAAACCACTTTAAATCTCCTCTGGAAAGAGGTATTGATGAATAAATAAATACAAAACAAAATTGCCCGCTGCTAGATGCCAAGATAATCAAAATAATTAGCCCTATCAGCATCAGACCAAGAATGATGCCGCCAGAGGACTTTGCCAAATGGGGTCCAGGATGACAGTGCACAAAAAGTGATTCACCAAAGTCAGAGCAGTCTACATAAAGGGGATGGAGAAAGTAGATGCTCGTGGGGAGAAGTGGAATCTTGCAGGGGAAGCTCCAATCCTGAGATACTGCAGCCAGCTCCAGAAATCGCCGTTCACATCTAAGACAGTGACCTGGGTCTTCCCTTCAAGACAGGGAACAGATGGAGGAGGGTGGGAGAGGGTCTCTTCATTCATAGCAGGCTTCAGCGTGAGCCTTCTCAGTGTCAACTGTGTCCATCTCACAACGGGCAGAGGAAAACTTGACAGAAGACCAAGATTGCCAGATGGTGGCTGAGCTACGGAAAAGCAGCAAAGTGTGTTTCTCTCCAAGGACCACCACCTGGCCACGTGAGGCACTGTTTAAATTCCTAAACTAGTCCAGAATAACATAATTCTAGATAGACTGACTAGTCCATTTCTTAATAATTAGTATTAGGCAAAATAAACAACTCGGCAAAATCTCCAGGTGGAGAGAAGAACCATGGATCACCACAGATCTGTGTGGCCTCAGAAGAAAAACTTGGTTTCAGAAAATTCAGATAAGCTGAGATTCTGGGAAAGTATGCA